TTTTAATATGGTACAGAATCCAGACATACTTGCTTTTCCCACAAAATACTACTACTGTGGGAAAAAAATGGAACTCCTATCTATCTTAATCTCTTGCCATTGGTATAACTTTACATTATTACTGTTCCTAAATCTCTATCATCAAGTTCAATTTCTACTACTGTTATTTGTAGTACTCTATTTTGTTATTGTATTTCTTTCCTCTTTAAATCTTTCCATTTCCTTCAAGACTTTAACCAATCTCAATCTACATGTATGTTTTTGTGTTAACCATTAGATGTTGGACGTGTATCTTTGATCACATTAGTTAGAATGAAGTGCTGCAATGGCCATTGCAGAAATAATCAAATTAAACTCATTAAGACCAAACTGGCCTGAAAAGCAACACTCACCACTAAGAGAAATGGCTCAGAATCGTCCAAGTAAGATTTAAAGACGAGAAAAATCCGTTGCTGGAAAACTTTGCAGGACAAATTACAGATGGCTGGATGAGATGGGTTTTTCTTTCGGATGATGTGATTCAAAATTACAGACATTTGCTAAGCCAGGAAAAGAAGCAAAAATCAGGATCTCCGAAAAGGGCTAGAAGGGGGAGCTGATTGTGAATCAGGTGCAATCCGCAGTGCTCAGAAACAACCAGAGACCCACATGGCAGCCAAGTGTCTGATCTCCCTTGCCCCTTCACAGGAGATAGGGGATCCTTTCCCAGGGACCCTAGAAAGCCACTGGCTTTGTGAGGAAAGGATGCGTCACCGGGACATATCCAAAAATTTCACCTTGCAGTTTGGATCCTGTGACATGTGTTCTCTTAAGATTTTGCTGGCATGTTCATAATCTTTGTTCTGAATACAGGTGATAACAGCCTGAAGCAAAAAATTAAAAGAAAAATGCAAGCACACCTTTTGCTGCTTTCTAAATAAAGCGTTTGCTGGAAAGGTTTTACATGACCGACAGCTAAACCTTTCTCCAATTCCAAACCCCATGATGGAAACCAAGTGGAGATTGGGCCCATGGTAGCTGCCCTGCTTCCATTTTAGAAGTTTTGCTCTGAACATCCAAGGCCGGCTCTCTTGTGTTTTCACAACTTGATTTTCATCATCTGAGAGCATCCGGCCTTCCTATTCTTTTCTCAAAGTGACAAGAGTTTTGTGGCTATTAAATCTATATAACGCAAGTGAGTGACATTTGTAAATATAGTTAACAAACAGTTTTGAACTGGGAAAAAGAGAAAGGGAGAACTGGTTTTTTAGCAGGGAACTATATTACTTCTAGAACAAATCCCCAAGTGTGCCCCCTCCTTCTGCTTAAAAAGAGTGACCACTATCTCCACTGAAATTAGTGTCAACAGGAGATGAAAAAGTCATCCTTACAGCCTCTTTTATTCTTCTCTTTAATTCCTCTATTATTTCCCCACTGATGTGGCATTCCTCTCCGAGCTTCTCCAGAAGGACAAGCACATTTTCAAGAGGTGTGAGCTCAGTTTCTGAGTCAATGGGCCAATCTAAAGTAAAAAAAAAAAAAAAGGGCTTGTTACTTTTAAACTATGATAGCTCAGTGCACATTCATATACCCGCCCATATGCTTGGATTAAAGGGAATTTTCCTTTAGAAGTACATATGCATTCTTCAATTACTGCATGAATATTGGTAGAATAACCATTTTTAAAGCAGTACAACATATGATCCTGCAATTGAAAGGGAATCACTGAATCCACCACAATTAATCTGCTCAATGCAGTCATGAGGAGGGGCTGTTCAGTCTCAGCGGGGCATGGCTTGCATAGAGGAAGGAACTCACTAGCACCTTCAGACACCGGTTCTAATGTTAAGCAATTCTTATTACAGAGAATTGTAATAAATTGTTGTTTAAAATGTTTACATAGCCGCCCACCTTATTACAAACTCTAGACAGCTCCAATCAAAAATCAGATTTTCCCTGCCCCTCATCAATGTAAGAAATAAGTACATTCAAAAATAAAATGTTATGTAAGATGCCTAAAGGTTTCACAAATGGGGGTTGGACGAGATGACCTGCAGGGTCCCTTCCAATTCTGTTAATCTGTTATCAAATGAAATATATTTCCCTGTATCTACATGCTTTGCTTTTATACTTTTGACATGCTCCATTGTAAAGCTTTTTTATATTTTTATGTTATGTATAATATGCCTTTTATATTATGTTTTTTTTTTGGGGGGGGGGGGTTGTTATAAAATAGTAGGATAAGATGAAACTAAAATTATATCTTCAGAAGTTAGAAAGAGGCCCTGATGAGGGATGCTACATTCCTTAATGCTAAGGAAAGATGCCACATAGGCAGCCAAATTAAGAGGTATGGATGCATCCCAGGAGGAGATAATTCTCCCTGGAGACATCCTAGGATTAGCTACAACACCTGAGGACATATCCAATGAGTCTGAACTTGGGAGGGAATGAGTGTCAAGAAGGAGGGAACTTGGGCGAGGAGATGAAACTGCATAAAAAGTATGTTTTGGAATGCAAAGGTCTGGCTTTTGATTTGAACCTGTTTGTTGAGGTTCTGAAGACCTCACTGTCACTTTGCAAACCTGTTATTTCTTTTTAATAGATGTTTTTAACAATCCAATTTTTTTTTGTTGGCTTTTAGTTATTTCCAACACCAAAACCAATTTGCCCCCTTTTTGAGGGATCCTTGGTGTCCTCTGAGCTTGGTTGTTGCAGACATTAAATTCCCAAACTAGGTAATATCATAAGAGATATTAATTAGCACTGCAAAAAAA